ACCAGCAGGTCTGGGCACTGTTCGTTGGTTTTACTTGGAAGAAAAAGAAAAAAGTCAATAGGAAATGGCAGCTTTGATTATCATAAAAGATGTCTTTCCAAACCCTTTAATGTGTACGTGATGTAACTTCAACTTAGGTATGTATTTGAATGCTCCATCAAGTGTCCTACCAGAGGTTCTGAAGGAAATAATGACTGTTTTCTCTACTTTATTTCCTTGAATGAAGCTTTAACAGTTCACTGGGAACCAGAAAATCACCACTGAAATGAACAAATAAATTTGGGGATGCACCTTAATCAATTTGGCATATTAATAACATTAATAATTCAATATATTAATAATTGAATTTTGTCAGGTGTTTACATTAAGCAATCACATTGATCCCAAGCTCAGTAGTTCTTACAAGTAGCTGAACTAATATACTCCTGGTTGTATAGAAGAAGGTGGAATGGAAACTATAGAAATGAGTGAAATTGTGTGTAATTAAGAGCTAGGAGCAAGGAGCATGTGACGTGGCCTTTTCCTACAAGAATAAGTCTGAGGATCTCTTGAGTGCACGTACCCCCATTCAAATATATCAGGACTCAATCCTTATTAAACTTGTTGCAGCGTGGGGGTTAATAATTAATGAAATGTTCACTGAAGAAAAGTGTTAACTGCATGTGAAATCTTTGTTAAAAGCACACTTTAGTATTTTCCTCTAGCAATTGCTGTGTCTTATTTAGGGTTTCTGCTGCTGTGATAAAACACTATGACCAAAAGCAGCTTGGGGAGGAAAGGGTTTATTCCATCTTATGACTCTCGGGTTCTACTCTATCACTGAGGAAAATCAGGGCAGGAACTAAAGGCAGGAACCTTGAGACAGAAGCCTTGGAGGAACTGGCTTGTTTTCCATGCCATGCTTAATCTGCTTTATTATACAAATTGGAACTCCCTACCCAGAGATAGCATTGCTGCAGAGAGGGCTGTGCTCCTCTACAGGAATCGTTAAGCAAGAAACTGCTCTACAGAACTTCTGATGGAAGTCTGTAGAGGAAATCTGATGGAAATATTTTTTTCTTAACTGAGGTTTCTCTTCCCAGATAACTCTAGTTTGTGTTGAGTTAAAAAAAAAAAGAAAAAAGAAAAGAAAAGAAAAGAAAAGAAAAGAAAAGAAAAGAAAAGAA